AGAACTGTGTCTACTGTTTTCTCTTAGGCTTTGTTCACACACAAAAGAGCTAAGACCTTGAGGTTGATTACTGACTGATATAAAGAACCAGATCCAGCTCCTGCCTAATAGGTTATTAATGCCTACTTAGTATTTTGTAGTACATGAATTTAATGCTATGTTAGTTTAAACAATTAGCTCTTAAATCTAACCTTTTGGATACTTTATACAATATACTAGTCATAAACATTAAAATGAGTATCAAAATATCAAAATCAAAAGTCCTAATTCCACTGCAAATTCAAAAGATTAATCAAAGTAACCTAGGAATGGATATGCCAAGGTAATTTATGATGATCGACAAACATCCTAAGTATGATTCATAGCACTTTTATCTTAATGCAGATTACCCTGGCAAGGTTATAAGACTGAGGAACAAATGAAGAACAAACTTATTTATGTAGTCTAATACAAACTTTCATCCATTTTAAGACTGCATTCGAAAGGGTCTGTTTCATAATGAACTATTCTTTTTTAAAAAATATTTTATTATTTTTATTTTATGTGTATTCGTGTATTGCCTGCATGTAGATAAGTGCACCCATGTTGTGCAATGCCCGCGGAGGTCAGAAGACGCTGTCAGATCCCCTGGGACTGGAGTTACGGACAGTTGTTAGCTGCCATGTGGGTGCTAGGATTCGAACCCGGGTCTTCTGCAAGAACAGCCAGTGTTCTTAACCGCTGAGCCATCTCTCCAGCCCCATGAACTATTCTTAAATGTTCAGTGAATGTTCAAATATGCAGTGGTCCACCTGGATGGGCAGTCATTTCTACCTCTACTGAATAAAACTGGAAACATATTTATGTAGGGCAATCTATGAATTTTAGTCTGAGAGGACCCCAAGTTCAGGTCAAAATCAAAGAACAGAGAACAGAGGCCTATTTGAAACCAAGCTTCTACTCTCACAGGAACTACATGGATCCTAGCAACACTGAACAAAAGCCTATAGGCAAAACGATAGAGGATTCTGGACTATAAACCATTTTTATATCTGTATACATTAACACACGTTACTCTCCTGAATTCGCTTGTCTGCCGTGCCTACCCGTTATGTTCCTATCAGAGAAAATTGCAAATATTGGGATTTCGGTTTGTTATCAGATCATCTGGTCTCTGTAAGAGGATAATCCAGAGCCTGGGGATACTGTTCATCGAGCAAAGGAGCCTGACCTGCGGAAAGAGGCTGAGACAAAGCCCAAGGTCACGCAGTCAGAGCACTGCAGAGAGACAAGAATTCAAGTAGGCTAACTCTTACAAATGACACTTTGCTAGCCCAGTTAGACTGAACCAATATCCTAGTGTGTAGTCAGGCCAACCCCGGGTGGAACATTGTCACATTATTCAACATCCCTCTAACACATTTAATTTATATTGTATGCCATCCAACAGTTTCATAAGCTTATAAGATTTCTAGGGAAAAAATACAGGATCTGGAAGTTTGACTATCAAAAATGTCGTATGCTTATGATCATGAGGAATTAAAAAGATGAAAAAGTAACAGAGAGAAAGATCCACAGAACAGAGAACTCTACAGTCCATAGAAAACTTTCATCAGAGCTTTGAGACATGAAAATTGATAGAGACATGTACTGACCCTTCGAGGGAAAGGAAGTAAAGGGAAACTAGCAGACTGCAAAGGGCAGATGACTGACTTAAGTAGGATTTTCTTTTCTCCACTCATCTATCTGATCCTCTTATTTGGTTGTATGACCCAATGCACTGAGATGCACTTTTCTAGCCTCTTCTGTATACTGCCCAGTGACGAACACATTTGTTGAGAGTCTGGCAATAGACACACTAAAACAATACTGCCTTTGTACCAAAATTTCAAAACGTGACTATATTTAGGGACAGTGGGATGGCTCAGCAAGTAAAAGTGCTTGTTGCTGAAACTGATGACTTCAGTTTGATCCCCAGATCCAAATCATAGGAGAGAACTGACTCCAACAAGCTGTCCTCTTACCTGCACATTTGCATGGCGGCGTGTGTACACACACAAACAGAGAGCAAAAAATATATGAAAAAAATTAAGTGACTATATTTAAGCCCTCTTGAACTGTGTTATAGCCAGTATGAACATGTTACACCTCTTATTTTGATGATGCAATGTTCCAAGTTGGGACATTCAGCTTAAGAAGGCAGGTTATAGACACAGAGCTTTCTTTTACACAGAACAGAATGAAAAGTCAACTCTAAATGGAAATGGAACACCATCCTATCTCCTGTAGCAGCTGAGTCCCATGCCTAACACCTTGAAATTTAGGAAGACCTATAAAGATTGAACGACAGACACTCGGGGCCAAGCAGCATCTCTAAGAACAACCATTTGAGACATATTTTATGCCTCAGCCCTGTTTCTGTCTTTCAGGGCTCTACATCCTTGTTCGTAAAGGGAAAAATTGAGTCCTAAGGGACCTAATTGAGAGACACCATTCTTTCCTCTTCATCAAGCCAATAAGGTTTGCTGAGTGGTAAAGACACACTCCGTCTATAGTTTCCTTCTTAATTGTTGTGGTGTCAGCAGGTTTTATGGGAGGAGGGAATGGGAAAGGTTCAGTATTCAGAACACTATTTGGATGCAATTATGAGACTCCACTGGCACTATTTTAAGATCTACAAGTTGGAGCAAGTTGCACTGTTCTTATAGGAGGGAACAACTAAACCAATTTTATCTAAATCAATTCGCGCTGTTTGATGATATGTTTGTGAAGCAACGAAGTCGCTCTTATTTGCAGCAGTGCTTCCCAGAAGCGGTCTTGCAAGATACAACATGGTGGGTGAGAATCCTAGTAGTCAGGGAAGTGAACAGGAGAGGCAGCCCGCTATGGCCCCTAGCCTCTCTCCCTACTCCACACATCACCTTTCCCCCTCTTCCTAGCCTGGATCTACAAATAGACCATTTAGGATAGAACAAGCATGAGCCCAAAATACTGGGTAAAGTCTGGGGCCTCATCCCAACCAGCACAGGCCTCTGCACATTAAAGGTGCTTAAAAGACATTGACTCACTGTTGCCAGTTGTTAATCATGTCTATACAGCCAGACCTAAAATTATCTATGCCATTTTTTAAATTAGGCATTAGCCAACTGCCCCCATATAGGCTAAATACGGGTGAGATTATGTATTCAATGAGTCTGACTCAGATTGTTAGATTAAAGATCAATATAATCTGATTTATGGCTCAACTTAAAATAATCACCATTGTTCTCTGCACCTACATATATATTCATTCAGTTGCATGCATTAGGTGAAATGAACTGACATAAGATCCAGATACAATGATACACTGGAATCCCAAGGGGGATGAATAATAATGACAAATTGAGGATTCTGTAAACTAGTGTCACTACTTATACACCCAGTCAATCCAATAACCCCAATAAAGGGTAAATGAAGTGCTTTCTTTGAAAAGTATAATGCTGAGGGTTTATGAGATCTTTTTCAAAGGACCAAGCCTAGTACACAACATTATGTCTTTTATACAAGAGCACCAACTATGAAAGAAAGGCAATACAAATATGGAAAGCCCATGGTGAAGCCACAGCAGCATCAGACTTAGGATGAACTCTTTGATCTTCTTGGCTCCTAGACTAGTATTTCAACCACATGAATCAAGTTGTGAAGAACAATCAGGAGAAATGTAATTCACATTATGAGTCTGTATTAAGTTAATTGATTGAGCAGGAATATATAAAAATAGCAGATTGCTTCTCCCTCAGGGCTGTGACAAGTGGGGAGGGGGTAGAAAGGTATGTATGGGGGAATGGTACTCTACAGTAGAGCAAAAGGTCCCAAAGTAGAAGGGGAAAAAAAAGGGGGGGGGGGATATGAACTGTATTTGGCAACCCCACTTTCCATTGGAAACTGTAAAGAGAACTGATTTGAGTTCAGTCAACCCTTATCCTCCAACATGAGTATTGGACAAATTAATCCCCACACAATACTTGTCTATCATTACAATTTCCAATGTATTCCTTCATAAATACTCCTCAGAGACACACAACCAGTGCCTTTCAACCAGCCCCACATTCAGAAATCCTCAAAAAGGCAAAGTAGCTGAGAATCCAGAAGGTGCCTTGCTGGGCTACAGTGGTTGATAGGGAAACGCTGAAGTTGGAGGGGCTCTACGGAGAATTTTGGGTGGGCAAATGTTGTGAGGCAGAAATAAGTGGAGTAATAGTGACCGCACATAAGAAGAGTGTGGAAGAGAGAGCGAAAGTGTGGAGCCCAACCATCCCCAGGATCCTAATTTCCTGCTCTAAGTAGAAATGCCTCCGGGAAAAAAAAAAAAAAAAAATAGCTGCACACGAAGTGAGAAGTAACCTAAACCAGATCAATGCCAGTAATGTTACAGTAAATCTGCTCTGCCGTTATTTACTTAATTCTCACAAACCAGAAGTGGAAAAACCCCATATTTCCCTAATTCAGTCTCAGTGTGTCCTGGGGACACACAAGTTTTCCCTCTCCCCCACAGCGCTGGTTTCACAGTTAGGCCAGAAATAAGGACCCACCCAGATAGAGATTTGAAGATCGCTCCACAGAAAAAAAAAGGGGGGGGGATTAAGTTTCTCCAGAGCTCCTGGGGCCAGCGGGGTGTCCACAGCCTCGCAGGCTGCAGTGCCAGCCGGGCTAAGCAGACCGAGCTGGGGGCGCCGCCCGGGCCGAGGACGGCGACTGCGGGAGCGTGGGAAGGCGGCAATGTTGTTTCCCAGACTCGCGCTGGGCGCCAGGAGAGCTGCTCCTCTGCGTCCCCAGCTCCGCCGGCCCAGCGCAAGGCCTCAGGCCGCTCCCTTCAGCGACCCGGGAGTGCAAACTGCATCTCAGGAGGGCAGCGGCGGGAACCGAGGCCACCGCAGCGTGACAGGGAGCCCGGGCCCTGCCACCGCCGCCGCCGCCTGGAGCCCCGCGGATCCCGGTCACCCGTTCCCTTCTCGCTCGGGTGCCCTCGGCCCGGGCGGCACCTGAGGAGCAGCAGGAGCCCGGGCGGAGCCCTGCGCGGGTGGCGATGCTCGACCCCGGGGCCGCGGCGAGGGGGCGCGTTTTACCCATATTGTTCCGAGCTGCCAGCCATCTCCTACGCTCGCCCAGGAGCGCCGGGCACTCGCCGGCCTCCACAGCAAGCCGGCTCGGGCTCCGGCTCCAGCGCGAGCTCCCGGGCCGCTGTCGCCGCCGCCACCACTCTAGGCCGCCGCCCGCCTTCGCTGCCGCCTCAGCCGCCGCTGCCGCGGCGCAGCAGCCGGGATCCGCCAGCCCGCGCGCCCCTCAGGGGACAGCACGGCGACCGCCACGCCACCGCGGCTGGGTCTCCCGGGCTAAACTTAAAGAGTTTTCGCCCCGCAGTCCAGAGGCAGCACCATGACACCACCGCAGCACCACACTGTCATTTCCGCCGCCGCAGAGGAAAAAAAAAAAAAAAAAAAAGGCAATCCCTTGGAAAGGAGGGTGGAGTGGGGGCAAAGCAAAGCCGAGGCTAGCACCCCAAGGGAGCACTGGGAGGGGCCCCCGCAGAAGAGGCGCGAGGCCACCTTCCTAGGCTCACCTTCTGCCGCCCCCGCCACTCCCAGCTCCCCCAGCCCCTCCTCTGGAGGCGCGTTTACGTGTTTTCTACCCTGGCAGGAGTGACCGGAGAAACCTGAGCAAGCAAAGGCAGTGGGTGGGTGGGGTTCGGATTACTACTGTACCTACCAGCTGATTCCCGCAGCCTTTTCTCCAGCGCCCTGTCATCTTGAAAGAAGACACAGGGAGAGGGAACCTGGAGGGCTGGCGGGCAGGCTTGTGTGTGTGTGTGTGTGTGTGTGTGTGTGTGTGTGTGTGTGTAAGAGAGCGAGCGAGCAGAGTATGTGTAAAATGCAGAAGGAAGAGTATGGCCAAACTCTTCTTCCACCTACGACCCCACTAGCCTCACAAGCCCCCAGATTAGAGCAAGGGAAAGGCCGTGGCACCCGCCAATGAGAAGAGTGTGCCTGGATCCTCTGCACAGGTCCTCCTGGTGAAGCTGCTTTATGCAAAGTTAACTATAGAGTAAAATAAAAATAGTGGAGGAGGCAGAAAAAGGCAGACAATTGAAGGAAACCCAACCCCTCTCTCTTTTTTACAAAGGGAGAATGGCTATGTCCTATTGGCCTTGGACACAAGTTGTTCAGATGGATTAAAGCCACTAAAAGTGAGAGGGCGGGTAAGGCTTTTGTTTGGTTTGGTTTTGCACCTTCAAATCCTTGACCAACAAACAAGAGGGTCATTACTAAGAGGACAATGGGGCAGAGGCTAGCTATCCAGGTATTCAGTGTCCCTAATAAGCTGATTGGTCCATTTGGAACCCTGGAGCCTCCCATTGGTCTGGAATCAGCCTGCCTGCTGACCTGTCATTGGCTCAAAGACCACCGCCCCACTCACAAGGTGGTTGGGAGAAGGAGGCAGCCCCAGAGGAGACTATTTGTAACAGCGAGCAAAAAGGAGAAGAAACAGAAACCAGAAAACAACCCTTCTCACGTGGGCCTCCCATTACTGTGCTTGGCAACAGATCCAGAAAAATTAAGGTAGCACTGGGTGTATCCTGTCAGGGAACCAATAGTAATCAGCCAACACCCCTATTAAACAATGTGCTGGAGAGCACTGAGTTGGAAATGAAGGCAAAATCACAACCACACTACCTTAATCAAAGTACAACTTTGTACAGAAAGTTAATGTGTTATACCAAAAGCACAGACACCAAAAGCAAAAATAAACAAATGAGTCTGCATAAAAATTAACATCTACACAGCAAAGGACACAATCAACAGAGTTAAAGGCAGCCTACAGAATGGGAGAAAATATTTGCAAACCACATCTGATAAGGGTGTAATATCTAAAATATAAAAAGAAGTTCTACAGCTCAATAACAAAAATTCCCTGTATTTTAAAATGGGCAAAGAACTTGAACATTTCTCAAAAGAAGATAAACAAATGACCAACAAATGAACAATAAGATGCCCAACGTCACTAATCATCAAGAAAAATGCAAAACAAAATGATAAGGAAAGTTCTGGGGATTTGTCTCACATGGTTGAAAAGATGGTACTGTATATTTGGTAATGGTGGGAAGGGTAAATTCTATGTCATGTGACTTTTGACACAATGAAACATTGGATATAGTTTTTAAATTAGTAATTCTTGGAGCTGGAAAGATGACTTAGGATAAGAGCACTTCCTGTTCTTCCAGAAGACCAGGGGTCATTGCCCAGAATCCATTAACTCCAGTTCCAGGGCATCTGACACCCTCTTCTGGCCTCCATGGGCACTGCACACCTGTGCTGCACTTACATACATACAGACAAAACATTCGTATATACACACAAAAAATAAATCTTAAATGTTTTTAAGTTAGTAAGCCAAAACTCTGCTGACTGACATAACAGACTTAGTAAATATGTCAACATTAAAAATAATGATATGTGTACATATGGTTTGTGTGCATCTATGAATACATTGGTCTGGAATCAACTTGCCTGCTGAGAGACCTAAGATTTTACTCAGTAAACAAAGGTAAGTGCAGAACTATGTGTGATCTGTGACTACTTGTGTGAAAAGGGAGGAGGCATGTTTGTATATGTTTGTATATATAAACTATTCTGTAAAGATATCCAAGAAATTTGTCATGCTGGTTGCCTATAGCTCCATCATAGAAAGGACAGAATCTTACTCAGCTTTCTGTCACTGCAACAAAAATCTAAGAAACAATGTAGGAGGAAAAATTTACTTTGGCTCATGATTTCAGAATTTATAGCCTGTCCCTGGTCCCTTTGTTTCGGAGCCTATGGTGATGAAGCAGAAAATCTTAATGGGGACTATGTGGAGGAGCAAAGTTGCTGGTCTCAAGAAAAGATGTGTGGGGCGGGGGAAGAAAAGGAAGGAGGAGGAGTCCAGAGTTTGAGGATACATATACAGTGACTTACTTTCTCCAACCAGGTCCCACCTCATAGTTTTAGGGTCACTGGTCCCTTTGTTTCGGAGCCTATGGTGATGAAGCAGAAAATCTTAATGGGGACTATGTGGAGGAGCAAAGTTGCTGGTCTCAAGAAAAGATGTGTGGGGCGGGGGAAGAAAAGGAAGGAGGAGGAGTCCAGAGTTTGAGGATACATATACAGTGACTTACTTTCTCCAACCAGGTCCCACCTCATAGTTTTAGGCACTTTTTAATAGTTCTTTAAGCCAAGAATCCATCAATGAACAAATCCATCAATGAGGTCAAAGCCTCCATGATTCAACTTACTTCCCAAAGCCTACCTCTGAACACTAGTATACTGGGGACCAAGCCTCCAACACATAAGTTTGGGGAAAACATTTCAGATACAAACTATAACATAGAAAGCATTCAGTGATGCATATGTTATTTTGTATTGCTTGAAATTTTAAGTTGATTTTTCGGAAATAATTTTAAACAGAAAGGAACAGAGAAAGCAGTGTGGAGGTTTCTAGGGGCCAATGAAGGAGAAATGAAGAGGTACTGTTTAAAGCAAACACAGTTGTTGCCTGAGATTTTTTTTCAATTCTCAAAATAGTATGCTGCACAGCATATGCAACTGAATTGTGCACTGAAGAATGGTTGAAATGGAAAATTACATGTTATGTGTATTTTACCACAGCGAAATTAAAAAATGATAAAAGGGGAAGTATACAGAGCACATACAGATTACTACATTTATGTAAATACGTATGTATGTCTTGGTAAATGCATGGAAGAGCCTGGAGATACCTCATAAACAGTGTGAACCTAGAACTGAGGTTGGTATTTGTGGAAATCTTTTCATAACTCATTATTCTGCACTGAGAATGTCTTTGATAGTTTAAAACCCCCCAAAATTAAGGTGTGCCTTCCCCCCCCCAAAAAAGTTTAGTCCCGAATTGAGAGAGAGAGGTCAGTTGATCCCCAAGAATTCTTCTTCAGTCTCAGGTGATATGATCTCCACAGAGTAATGGAGAATTTTCTAAAATGTAAAGGAATGACCGCTTTCATTGGAGATGTACCTGAGCAAAGCTAGCTAGTGGTAGAACTGACATAGAGGAGATTTGCGTTTAATGGCTTTTCTCTTCCTTTAGAAACCATCCTATCCTTTCTCTCTTAGCAATCCCCACTCCACCTGAGTTTCCAGTGTTTCAGAAACAGTCCCTGATTTACCAGAACTTTATACAGAGCTCGGTAACCCTGTCTTGCCTCCCTAGTGAATGTTCTGGACCTTTCTTTTCCCTCCTCAAAACTTAACAGCTGCTGGATCCCTTTCACAAAGGACCTTGCTAAGTGATTACGGAATTCAATCAACTAAGTCAAGCTAAATGTTAATAGCTTCATTTGTCTCTCTATTAGAAGATAATATTTTAATTTTAACAGAGGCCTTCAATATATTAATTCAAAGGAATGACTAATGGCTTGTGTGGGTGGGAATGGGGGATGAGGAGATTTTGCTAATCACATCACATAAGCATCTGCTTTGAAAATATCCCCACTTTCAATGGTTTTATGCAAATTGCTCACTGTAAATTTATTAAAGTAAATGTTTTGTATGTGACAGGATATGCAAAATTGGCTGCGAGTATGTGATGAAAGTATTTGTTTATAATTATTTAACGATTACCTTTGCATATAGCATATGTTGATCCTATTAACAAAATGAATCTGGCCCATGAAAAAAAAAAGGCGCTTGACAGATTCAGCTGGAGGTGTTTAATTGAATTAATCTGAGGCAGACTCACCACAGGCCGACAGTATGAAAGGGACAGCTCATAGGCTATTTTTTTCCAGCTAAGAATGTAAGGGGGAGGGAGTGGCTCCAGATACTTTCTACAGAGAACAGCACAGAGGCCAGTCTGTTCAAGAAGGAAAAAAATCACAGAAGGGTGATTCTGTTGTACAAGTGAATCATTGCATAAGAGGACCTTCATACTGCTCTCAAAAGAAACAGCTAGTTGTCTGAAATCCAGAGGTTGACCAAAGACTTTTCTAACCAAGCAGCTCTTAGCAGGATGGTGAGAAAAAAGGCACTTTTGGCATGGACTTGTCAATAGGACATTGTTCTAAAACCCTAGTAGTGAACTGGCTCTGTAGACTGCTTAAGAGAGAGTGGTTCAAAATAAACATGTTCACAATAAACGTGTTCGCAATATGGAGAAATGGCATGCCCCTGATACTTTTTATTCTTCTTTCTGCTTTCATCAATTTGGTAACTTCTGAATTATGTTTGTTCCAGTACTTAAGTATGTTTGTGATCTGTGTTGCATTGGTTAATATTTTTCCAGAGCTTTAATGTGTCATCAGGTTCAAGCTCAAACCTTACTGTTGGACAGGCCTCCCTTAACCAGCAATGTTAGCTCACTTAGAGTCTGGCTTTCACAACACCATATATTCTTTATTCTCCCATCATCTCACTGCCTGTT